CAGTTCCACACTGCCCTCCTGCCTCCGGGGGCCCTGGACCCCGATCAGCTTCCTCAGCAGCTTGTGGAAGTCTCCTTGGAACCCCGACGATGAGAAATAGTAGACAAGGGGATCGACACAGGAGTTCAGAGTGCTGAGGAGTAGCACGCAACTCCTCCACGTCGGGCTTTCGCCCCGAACATAGCCCACCACATGAGACACATTGTAGGGCCCAAAGCAGACAAGGAAGTTGAGCAGTGTGGCTGCCACCAGCCCCTCCACCCTCCTCTGCCTGCGGTGACTGGCTCCCCTGCGGAGGATCCACACCAGGCGGCTGTAGCAGTAGCTGGTGATGAGCAGGGGCACCCCAAAGAGGACCACAGCCATCTCCAGCCGGACGGGCAGAAGAACGGCCAGCTGGTCCTCCCGGAATTCCTGGTAGCAGGTTTCCTTGTTGCCATCGCTGGGGAAGGAATTCCCCAAGTACTCGGTGACATAGACCACGCTGCAGTGAGCTGTGGCCAGGAGCCAGCAGGCCCCGCTGACCAGGCCAGCCTGCCCCGGCCTGGGCCGGGTCTTGTACCACACAGGGTAGGCCACGCTCAGGAAGCGCTCGATGCTCACGGCTGCCAGGAAAAGGGAAGTGAGATAGATGGTTGTGAAGAAGAGGAACCCGGACAGGGGGCAGAAGATGTAGGGCAGGGGCCAGTGCATGCCGCTGGCCGCCTCCACCATGCGGAATGGCAGGAAGAGCAGCAGGAGCAGGTCGGAGAGGGTCAGGTTGAGCAGAAGCACGTCCACAGCCACCGGGCGGTGCCGCAGCTTGCCCACGAAGATCACCAGGGCCATCAGGTTGAGGGGGAGCCCCACGATGAAGGTGAAGAGGTACACAGTGAAGTAGAGCCAGTGGTTGCCAGGGAAGAAGGACCGGCCCGGGCTGGTACCCATGGTCATGGCCACTGGTGAGAGAGAGAGTGCGTGAGACGGAGGTGGGGTAGGCAGGGACCTCCCAGCCCCAGCCAGGGGCATCTCGCCTGTCCGCAGGGAACACTCACCCCCAGCACCACCCCAGCTCCCCAGGTGCTTTTACCAGAGGGGCCAGCCTGCCTGTGCTCCTGATCTCGCTGTCTCCTGTTCCTTCCCCAGTAAAGAAGGCACCGGGGGCTCCTTCACTCAGCGCCAGAGCCACCTCCCCACCTCCCCGCCCTCCCCACCCGCTCACCTGTTATGGAGAACCCTAGCACTCTGCCGGACCGCACCTTGCTGTCTCCTCCAGAATAAGAGCGGTCGAGTATTTATCTGGCAGAACTGATAAAGACCTGGCAGTGCCCATGACGTCACTCACTGTTGGACAGCAGCACAAAAGATGCCTTGAGCTCTGTTACCAGGGCTGCGGCAGTATGAAAAAGAGGAGCAAATTCCACGACTGTCTGCCTTTCTGCTCAGGCAGCCTCAGATGGGATGCCCGAACCAAGCCCAAGCCGTCGTTATCGTCCCCTCCCCTCTTCTCCACTTGGATTTAGTCTGCTACTCTAGAATGGCACGAATCCAGTTTGCCTTGTAAGGGCAGGGAGTGGGATGCAGTGATGGAGAGCCGGGCTCCGGAACTGGAGGCCTGGGTTCCACCTGGCTCTGTTACTTAACTGACTTTGGGATTTGGGGCCAGTGACTTAAACTCTCTGTGGCTCTCCTTTCTTATCAGTGAAACAGGAAATGATAAGGCTGCTGGTCTTTTTTTTTTTTTTTTTGGAGAGGTTTTTGCTATAGGGCGCGTGCGCTCACCAGACAGATACAGACAGAGAGACAGAAAGCGAGAAATCACCCCCCAGGGGGAATGATCACGCTGCAATCCCTTCTCCTCCATTCTCCTCTCGGGATCTTGGGCACGCACGCACAC